TGTGACAATTGGAAATTTTATGTTGCTTAAAATATTGACCGTACGGTAAATAAACATTTTATAATGCCAACAGTTTGCACCTGGAATGGATTATTAACTTCCTGGGGAAGAAAGCGTTTGGAAAGCTGCTCTTGTCCATAGTTTTCAGTTATGTATTTATTTATTTTTTAATCGCGCATATGCACTGCGTCGATCTCAGAGGCTCGCTGTTTGCCCTGCACGCTGGGGAGGGCAGAGGGAGCCAGGGGGCCGGTTCACTGTTTGTTTAAACAAGGTCAGTACATGTGCGCACACACACACGCACGCACAAGCATTTACTGTATACTGCATCAAAGCTGTATATGGCCTTGGAGGATGGGTCTGCGCTCGCTCCTTCCTGTTTCCCATTCTCTCCTCCCTCGAACTCTCTATAAAACTTATACTCCTTGTGACTTGCCTCCTCGCTGGGCACTAAGCCTGCTTACGACGAACGGCTTCCAATGTGTCTATATCAAATAAAGCCCGGTGGCAAAGCAATAGCAGCTTCAAGTGAAAAGCCCATGAATTGTTGTCTACGCGCCAATTATGGCGGCAAGTCTATTTAAGGAGCCGCGACGTACAAATAAGCGGGCTGCAAAATAAAAAGGGGGTGAGGGAAGCTGAGCAATCAAAACAATAAATCAAAACCACCCAGAATATTTGGAGCCGTTTATGAGAGACGTACACACTCTTTATTTCATTTCCAACTGCTCCCGAAGTCGGAGAATTTGGAGTTTAATCACAATTCAATGGAGAAACAAACACTGATGGCCAGAATCATCTTTCATTTCACAAGCGTTATTTATTCATTTATTTATTTTTGTAATGTCCGATGAGGATGACCTTGAAAAGCGGGGACACACGTCTCTGTCCTGGCTGCTCAGTACAATAAGTTCATTATTATTTGACATCAGTAAAGTGAAAAATGGAATATATACCGCAAAGTCAGCTGTGTTAAGTGATATGGTGAAGAGACTCCTCTCACAGGTACGTGTCATTGCAGTTAAGGATAAGTACCTGTTGTACTCTTTTGAAATAATTAGTTTTATATTTGTATGACGTGTCTGAAGCGACCCTCCCTTTCAAAGCTTCTATGTCACTTCCAGGTGAGTCATTGTATTTTAGTTTAGCTTTATATAACCTCATTATTCAGTACATTGTCAGTACAAACTGTTATTTAATCGTAATGAGGGAAAACACGTTTTGGATTATGAGGTCGCAGTCAACCAGCAACCTAGAATTTATGTTTGACCTTGAGGGTTTCTCTACTGAGATTTTTTTGTGAAATAATGTGAAAAGAGTTATTTTGTCATATCCGTCATCCTTTGTCTTGTGTCTGCTCTCCTTCATTTGTGGCCCAGCAGGTATTACCAAAGTGCTCCTTGTATTTGTGTGGGCGCAGCAGCACTCAATTAAGCTGGTTAAATACGCACAAGGATACCTCAGCCAGCCAGAGAGGCTTTGGACTTATATGTCTCCTAGCAACAAGTGTACTGATTGTGATCTGTGGCTAGCCCCTGAGGAATGGCTAACGCAGAGCCACAGTCAGTTGGGCACAGACAAGGCCATTTTATAATATATCATGACATGCAAAAACGTGTTCAGCAATATCGAATCATTTCTATATGACAGAATGGAAATCTGAGTATTTGAACCAGTGGCTCAATCAGGCCCGTTTCAATGTAAATGTTGTCATTGCTTTTACGCTACTGTCTTGTGCAGATAGACAGTTAAGGCCCCAAATTCAATCTATCATCCAAAATATACAGTACAGTTGTTTGAAACCGAGGCATTCACACTTGTCTGGTTTGGTTTGGTTGCTCTGTTCCTTTGGTTAAGTGTGAACACTAACATTCAAACTTGGTGCACGCCAAACAAGCACCCCAAAAACTGAAGCGGTGGAGTCCGTCCACATCTGAATGCTTCAACTTAAGCGCAATGAATCAGACTCCAAAAATCCACCGAATTATAGGGTCATGTGCAGTAATACAACACATTTATCTTGTCTTCATTTACCCCCTTAGTCTGTGCTCAAAAAACTGTGCTCAAAGCAGTCATCCAAAAAAAAATAAAAATAAATAACGTTCTTGTTCTCCTTCTTTGTTTTTCTGTTGATACAGCAGCTCAGCGGTGCACAGCACAGTCACAAAAGGAAGTCACGGCCATGCCCATATGGTAGCCGTGGCGTCATCGGGTGACATCACACCACTAGAGTCAAGCTCCACAGAGAATAAAGTGCCGGGCTCACAGGAATGAGAGGGGGGAATCTGTAGCACAGGGCTACTGGTGGTGCTGCTGCTCCTGGAGTACTACAGTTTGCTTCGTGTGTGGAATATGATGACGAGTCAAGATGCAGAGGAGAAAAAAAAAATCTCGTGTTGTGTCATCCTTTTTGTAACCCTGAAAAGATTGTTTGTAACATCAATTAGGCTTTATTATTATTTAAAATTGCGCGGCCGGATAACTGTGATCAGATTTTGCTGGCAGTGTTATTGTGCCTCTGGGGAATAGCACTATCCACACCTTCGGTGCACCTGAGAAATACGAGATGTACGAGCTAGTTTACACTCTCATGTGCTCTGACCCCCTTGTGATCAGTGGAGTGGGTCAAGTAACCTGAAGCGAACCCTTGACTTCCTTTGGACCATTCCTAAACTATCTCTCCTAATTTTGTATGTAGCATCTGCAAAAGCACAGTGCAGGTGTATTTTGTCCATAGTGTGTGTTTTGGGAATCATAAGAAAGATATATATATATATATATGTATATATATATATATATATATATATATATATATTTTTTTTTTTTTGCAAAAACACACGTACATAAAAACAAACAGTTCATGTTTTATTATATGTGAAAAAAAGTTGTTCAGTGGAAAGCTGGTCGCATTATGATAATTGTCTGAATTTGGAACTGCTGTCTTATTAAAGACCATCAAGGGGGTACTTTAGAATTTCATGTTTGCTTTGGTGAGTTAACTCAAAAGAAATCCAGATGACATTTTCAAATGGCAATAGAGATACATCATAAATTATATTTAAGAATAATATTGGTGTAAAACACAATAGGGTGTCAGGCAAGAGCAATACCCAAACGAACGATGAGAAATCAGGGCAAGTGTACAGCAAAGCTTGGTTGACAAACTTTGACCGCTAAATTATGCATTGTCACATATGGGAGGATCGAATCTTGGTCACGCTGAGGTTGAAATGGTTAATTATCAGCCTGGAGGGGAGTCTGCCTGACTGAATGTGTGAGAACAGACAGAGGCCGTTTCTTAAGAGGCAACGACAATACATTAAGACTGACCTTCCGGGTTATTTTCAATTGATTTCATGCTAACAGCAGTTCGATCTTACAAACTGAAACTTGCTTACAACTGTTCTAAAGCTGCTGATAACAATTCTATCTTTTACTTGATTCACATACTTAACCGCCGCTCCATCCTGCCGACTGCTGTCAGGCTATTAAATAGACAGACCTGACCTGAAAACCTGGACTCACCCCCACTCACCCATTCTGAATATGCTTAGATTGATATTTTGTAATTTATATGTACTTATATACTTTTTGTTCTTCTACTTCTCCCTTTCATAATTTTTGCTGCTGTAAATTGGGAATTTCTCCATTGTGAGACAAATAAAATTTTCTTATCTTATCTCAACGCATTGCTGAGCTTTTAAAAGCCTGTCAGCCAACAAAAGATGAGACAAAAGAAATGCCAAAGGCAGACAGCCCACATACACGTGATCCAGCCTCAGATTTGTTCTGATTTTAAAATAGATTTTCAGCAATACCAAGTTCAAGCTGCCATCCTCTTAATCTTTACCGACTATTTCGGCTTTTTTTTTCTTCCAAATAACATAAATGCAATCTTCACTATCCAACAAGTAAACACCTGTTAATAGTAAAATGTGGATACAATAAAAAGTCTTACCTCGACAAATTTAGAGCTGGCAAGGCTACAGATGCCCGATCCCCACGTGTTAAATGTGAAGGTACAATTGTGAGTTTGTGGAATGTAGTGTGCGGTGTTCCTGATGGGCTGATAGCGCCACGATTAAAGCTCTCAGCAGGAACTCAGCCATTGTTAGGGTTCACAACAAGTTCTACTTTAATCACTAAGGTGGATGCTTGTGACGTAAATTGTTTGCTTTCAAACTTAGCTGGTAGCACACGTTTGTGACGTTATGCATGCTGTGATCGTGACCTCTGAAACACTGATGAAAGGAGACTTTGATTGTCTGCTCTAAGCGCGACGGACAACAAGGCGTACGTGGGAAAAGCTGACACGATTTTATTATTGACGATGTTTCATCCAGTGTGTTCTGTTGAATTCATGTTTTTTTAACGTTAAATGTTCGGTAAAACGCTTTGTTACAGCTGCAGTTGTTGTGAAAGCGCAATATAAATAAAGTGGTATTGTGTGTGTATATATACAGTATATTGTATGTGTGTGTGTGTGTGTGTGTGTGTGTGTGTGTGTGTGTGTGTGTGTGTGTGTGTGTGTAAAAAGAAAAATACAGTCGATGCTTATTACCATCTTAAAGCGGCTGTACAATTTTTAACAGTCAACCTATCTAGAAAGAACTACTGAGGGAACACCAGGATGTTGCAGGCAGTAAAAATAATTCTAAAACGTTATCAGTTACTGGCATCTGAACCGCAAGTATGAAAAGTATTCCAAGTGCAATGGGGTGTTTCTAGGGCTGGTGGTGAAAGTACACTGTGTCTCAAATGCGGAAGGAAATCCCTGAAAAGTGTTGAAACAGTCTTTCACGAAGGAAGTGGCTGCTGAATTTTGGCGTGGTATATTGCTCTTATTTTGTGTGCAACCAGCCCTTAAGGGTGCAAAAGTTGAACTTGTGACTATGTGATTTTCAAGTAGCATGTTTCACATGGGCTTCATGGCAGAATCGTATAAGGCACGAAAAAGACTCCGTGTTGGTGTCAAGGTGCTAAATGCCAAAATGTGATACCTTGACAATGGGATGGCCACTTGACGCCGCTTTGACAGCTCCTCTACTGCCCTCGGTCTCATAGTGTGCTCGGTGGTGCGCCTTGGGTTGCACCTCGATCTTCAGTTCGTACTGGCCGAACTGACTTGGCAGCGGCCAGTCTAGGGGAGGAAGTGAGGAGGTCCTGTGGAGAGAAGACCGCATAGACACAAACACAATTCACTCCAACTAAAAGAGTATTCGGTTGTGAGAAGATGTTCCCCAAAGAAAAAATAAAACATTGTAAAGCACCAAATTTTTGTTCTGTTCGTTAGCAGGCTACTTCCTGCGTGGTGGATGAAAAAATACACCACAAATGAATAAATGGTACCATTCTGGTTGAGGGTGGAATGTTTGATTCAGAAGGTAGTGATTCAAATGGTTCAAATTTTAAATAAACAATATTTCAGCTATTAAACATGGTTATATTGCATACGAATGTTTCTAAGAGGCACGGGCTGCTATCAATCAAAAGCTGGGTAGAAGAACGTGTCTGTCAAAGTGTTTGCTGTGCAAATTGCACTTCACGTGTTGTGTGAAGTGCACCCGTTTTTAAAAATAAAAATCTGTGTAGTGACAACCATATTTGAACAGCTGCACTTGAAAAAACATGGCCTTCTCAACTGGGGAACTCTCCCTGGTCAAGTGAATTCAATCATTTTCGCTCCAATTTTGCAATCACAGCCATGAATCAATATCAATCCGGCCATCAAACCAAGGGATTCGTGACGTAATTCGTTGTACTTGCATTTAATATGATGAGCCAAACGCACTGCAATTAACACATCACTACTCTTAAGCGCATCCTGTATTCTTTCAGCATTTTGTCTGAAAGTATGAAGCACAATTAGAGATGAATGAGGCCTGGTGCAAAAAGTAAGGTAAAGGAGGGAATGTGGTGAAATCTAAATATAGCGTGAAAGACCATGTGTTCCGGGTGATGAATGGGTCAGATAAACAGCAGGCTATGCCCAGGAGGACCATTACCTGACCGCAACGTCTCTTGCAGAAAGTGTCTTCTCTTTGTCCCCCTTTTTTTTTTTCTGCACATTACATGTTACCGATGTAATGACTGTTAATCTGTAGGTTTTCTTGACAGGAGCCATTACATAACCACCTGATCAAGTGTGACCCGTTAGGCTGCCGCGGTAACAGAAGTAGAAAAGTCCAGCTGAAACGTGAATAGAGACAGACGGGCGGCCTTTAAATGATCTCATCATCAGCTTTCTCTAATGTCCAATTCCTCAAATCGAGCCTCCCGGTCCAATCACACAACTCTCATCGTCCGACATGCAGGTTTACACGACACTATGAAATGTGTCAATTCAGTCAAAGTGTTTGACAAAAATAGGTAATCAAGTTCACAAAGCACAACATTGGCTCAGTTTATCTGTGTTGTGTTTTGTTCAATTTCTAGATTCTAAGGTTGAATGGACTATATTTGTCCCAATTCAGGGGACTGCAACCTTTCAGGGTTCACAATGTCAGGATGGTGCACAAAGGCTGCTCCAATTCGAAGGCTCCCTCAGATGCAGGCTTCTTTTTGCGTTTATTTCTTCTACAGTACTGTATATTCTGTATATATAGTCTTGGAAAATACTGAAATATGGCTGCGCAAATATAATGATTCCGTTTCTACTTATTTGAAGGTCGTCGAATGTAAAATGAATGAAAGCTCAAGCACAAGAGCGTTTTGTGATCACACAGAAACTGTTCTTGAGAATATTGTATGCGCCCAAAGTGTGACCTAACTTGGTTCAAATAAATACCGTATTTTCTGCACTAAAACAAGCACCTAGAAGCCTTCTATTTTCTTCAGAGCTCACAGGGCGACTTAAAAATCCGATGCGCCTTCTGTCTGGTCATTACGGTAATATTTCGACCCCAAAATGGCTCCTTGCTCGAGACATGCTGACAATGCAGAGTTCAAACTTAAGGCGATCGGTTACGCAGTTGAACATGGAAATAGAGCAGCGGCAAAAGAGTTCAACGTTAACGAGTCAATGTTATAACTTGCTGTTGGTTGAGTGAACTGTGTCGCTGCTTTATTCAATACGTTTAACTGACATCTGATCGTTCTGTTGCCGTTTCCTTGCGCGTAGCGTAGTGAATGCATTGTAGATTGCGTCTTATAATGCGGTGCGCCCAATGTATGAAAAAAATGACAAAATGGGCCATTCATTGAAGGTGCGCCTCATAACCCAGTGCGCCTTTTAGTGTGGAAAATACGGTAACCGGTCGCTTCAATGAAACTGACACTTTACAACGTACACAAGAACAATGTACATTCCTCCAAAATGATTTCCACTACCAGTTATTTTGAATGGTATATTTCCTATATATTAAATCAATGCAATCAGTTTGATTATTTTATGCATATATCATTATTGAATCAACTGATATGAAGTGCTTACATCGTGACACATGTTTTTCAGTGCCATCAATGTATACCGGTAACAAAAAAACGAATTACTGCGTCAGTTAAATGGCGTTAATGTGTCGAAAATGGCAAGCTTGAGCAAGGGGGTGTGTTATGTCTATGCACATGTTTACATCAGTCTATGTACACAACTGTATGGGTGGGTGTTGTTGACCTTGTTACCAAATGCACCCTCTGCTGATTTACAGCACTATAAGGGCCGCTGCATGCCTGGGAGCCCTTCACGTGGTGAACGGACTGCAGACTTTTAGCCTAAAATAATACATGATGAACTTTTCAACTTCATTTATCGCCCTTTGATGTGGCTGTTATTGAGGAGACATTATAGCTCTCCTCATAGACAATCTCGTGTAACTACTTCAGATTCATACTGGTTATACACAGCTCAAAGTTCCTTTATTGAACATTGGAGCAGCGCTCCAGCCAAAGACAATCTAGTCAAACAATGTTCCCTTTGGTTTCACCGCACTTGTTATTTGTCTTTAAGATCAAAACGATCCATCTTCATGGCAGCTCAGAACAGTGCACATACTTCAGTCCTTTTATGGCCTTGACCAATTAATTGCCTTTCAAATCTCGTCAAGTAGCGATAGCATATCATAATCATAAAAGAGATAACTGTTGTCCCGTTAGGGTCTGGAATTGGAAAAACGAGTAGGAAAATTCCCAATATGTCTTCAAATGAAAGCATTTTGCTTTTCTGCTTACGAGAGATGTGTATTGCAGGGTAACTCGTGTGATATGACACTTTGCATTTTTATGATATTATGCCAACAATAATGATAGGAAGTATCACAATAGTAATTGTTGTCATTCCTAAATGTTACTTGAAGCACTGCTGTATTCAATTTGATTCTTTGCACTTCACTGAATTCCTTGAAAGAAGTTGTACGACCACATATTTTGACTGAGACTTTTTCCTGCTGCTGGATAATTATGTTTCATCGTATTTATTTATTTTGAATTTCATGAACAAATGGAAAAAAGCTAATGGAAAATTGCCATTAATTTCATGCAATTTAAGGAAAAATGCTATATTGGGATATCTATCGGGGACCAAAATGGAAGGTCTTTTGTTTTTTTAACATTATATTAACAGTTGACTCCCGCTATTCGCGGGGAACAGGAACTCGTCCGGTTGGCAAAGCTAATTCCCATGAGGGATGTTCTCTCCAAATAATGATCACGTACAGCTCGCAGTAAAACTTCACACAGAGCAGAGGTGTGAAATCCAGGTGCAGGAAGGTAAATTAGCTTGTTTACCTGCTAGTTGAGTAGAAACACCTGTGGCTATAGCCAAAGTATAGCAGGATTTTAATTTCTGGACCTTGATTTGCCACTTTCTGCTCCAGAGGGAAGTGTTTATTTGTATTCAGTGGGTGATGTGCCACGTCCACTATTTGAGGACGTTTTTTTGTAAGACGGAGGCATTATGGTTACTTATGCTCGATAACGCTGTGCCACATCACAATAGCAATATACTTGACTTTCTTGTCTATTTGAAATGCAACATTTTCACTGACTTTCTGGGAGTTACCTGAATATCGGTGTGTGACCGGGCTTGGGTTTATTCCATGAAAAATGGGAGGGCACCGAGAGGAACTGCTCCCCAGGCCCATCCTTCTTGAGGATCTGGAGAGCCTCTTCTGAGGGCGAGTCTAGATTAGGAAGCATATTTCCTTTGTCATCTATTCCCAACTCTGCTTTTGCCGAGGGCTGCATGGCTGTTGTGTCTTGTGAGGTCTTCCTTGTCTTGGATGGGATGTCTGCCTCAGATTGGCAGCACTGGAAAGGTGACATTCCTGTCGATGGACTTCCAGCCCACGTGTCCTCTGTCACGCTGCCCCTAGGTGAAGGTCCCGGCGTGGGCGAGGGCGAATGATGTGGTGACACGGAGCCAGGATAGCATATGTCGGCACTGGAGTGGCGCCTCTTCCCGCAGGGTGAGGTGGGACGCGAGGAGGGCCGAGAAGGTGGCCGTGGGCTAAGCCAGTTCTCATCAGTGACACTGGTGCGCGGTGAGTGGCAGGGGGACTGTCGAGGCGACAGCGTGACGGAGTGGGAGTGCTGGACGAAGGAAGGGTGAGGGTGCTGCCACTGCGGCTGTTCCTCCAGATTGCCGACGCCCGTTTGTGGGGACGTGCACCCCGGCGACGTAAGCGGCGAGCCCAGGGTGAAGCGAGCGGCGGCTTCATTGAGCTCTGCCTCGACATCGTCGTAGACGTGGGAAAATGATTCGCAGGAGGAAGCATCCGAAAACCAGCTCCTGGACGAGAGGCTGCTGCCTGGGCTCGGACTGAGGGAGGAGTCCCGGTACGAGTGGTCGAGAGGCAAATACAGGTGGTCTCTGGATAGAGGCCTCTCACTGTGGTACTCCCTATCGGGGCCATTTGGCCTCAGAGCTTGTTGATTGGCATCCATCTCCTGCTGGCAGCTCGGGGAGATGGAGGTAATCTGAATACTGGGGCATTCGAAGGCCTTTGGTGCCTCCACTGGGGCAGAATGGAGTAAGGGGGAGGTGCCATACTTTGAGTCCTGTGCCTCATAAGTCAGGTGCATGGGTCCTTGTTTATGTGACTGAAGGCGAGGTGAAGTGCTGATGAGCGGGGAGTGCGACTGCATGCCATGTCGGGGGAGGCTGATTGACTGGTGGTTCGTGACCACTGATGGGGGCTGCCCCACATTTAGAATGTAGAACGATGTGTTGTCATCTGGCTCCAGATCTAAGGGGAAAAACATAGATGAAACAAATATGAACACATGAACTTTCATTTGTGTGTCTCCTTTTTAATGGGGCTTTGCCTCACTAGGTTGAGCCTCTCCCGGTTGACTTTGTGCAATGCTTGAAGTACACTCTGGACTGGTCGCCGTAAAGTGCAGGGCAGAAATAGACAAATACCATTCACACCACATTGATAGACAATAGAGCTGTTTTTTTAATTAACATGAAATGCTTGTTTTGGGAATGTGGGAAGAAGCTGGAGTACGCAGAGAAATCTCCGTTTTGCTTCTTCTTTGGCTTATTGCTTTTTTTAATGTATGTATTCAAGACGAAGGACTTGCTTATGTTTGGTCACTGTGTGAAATAAATACAGTGAGTGAAAGCAAGTGATGATAAAACGGATAGGTGAGAAGTGGCGCACTAAAAACTTTTCTATCATCTGCACGTCTCATCGCGCGTCTTATATCTGACATCTACATGACAATGCGGCCTGTCTTCTTCCACAGCTGCAATGGCCGAGAGGGAGTTGGACTCGAAATCCAATGGGATCTTCCCGCGCAGGTTCGAACCCTGCTCGCAGCGCTTGTGTTTGTTGCAGGCCTAAGTGTTCTTTGAAAACCCAAACCTGTTCTACCAGTGCTCCGTAAATCACCCATGAACAAAGCATTAAAATTATGACACGGAATACTGTATAATTATTCTTTTTCATGCTTATATTGTGAGTTACCGCTTTTTTATGTTTGAGGGTTAATGGTGATGCACTTAATTGAACCCATGCATAGCTATTACTGTTAAAAAAAAATTCACCTCTCGAATTATTAAACGCTTTATGCTGGCAATTGACAAGAATTTGAGCCAGGAATGGGTTAATTTTTTTATTTAATGACTTACGATGACGAAAATTACCTCCAAATCCCAATAAATTGGCAGAATGGATTAGGATCTCCGGACACTGTCGTTTTTCGAAAAGTAACTCACACCTCCTTCACTTTTCTACGTACAAAATAAGTCAGAGAATGATTCCATTAGTAAGTCCAGTTTCAGGAAAGTAATTGGAGACTGTTACCATGTAAAGTGTGCCATACAGGCATTGTTTCAAGAGGGATAACTGTTGAACAACACTACTCAGGAAACAAATTCACACTGGTACGTGCTGTCAGCTGTCATCACACTGCACTGGCAGGCTATTTATACCCAAAGTCATTCAGCACAAGCAGCATGTACACAAATATTCACACACACACACACACACACACACACACACACACACACACACACACACACATGCACGCACATGCACGCACAGTAAAACAAATAGACAAGAACACATTGTCCACATTGGCTCCACTGAGTTAGTGGATATTGATAAACTTCCACTGGATGCACTCTGCAGCAGTGTTACCACTGCCCCTGTCGTAAATTTTTTCATGTCAAATGTTGAGCCACCTCGTCCAAACAATAACACGAGATAATCTGAGGTTCTTTCCTACGAATTTAGTCATCAATGTTATCCTGGAGATAAGAGAAACGGAACGTGAAAAAGCAGGCCCGAAAGACACCCGAGGCATTTGTAAATTTGAAGTACTCTACTTTAAGTTGCAGTTGATAAATGCGGATACACACCAGTCCTGTAGCCGGTGGTAAAATGTTTGACTACTGCCAAGAAACTGAAGGAGGAGTCATGTCTGTCGACCTTCATGGATCTGAGTATGATAAAATAGAATGGCACTCATTCGAACGTCGACCTGCACCAGCTCGCTGAACCGTTTAGTTTGTGCTTGTCTGTATGTTGGTGGGCAACTTCTGGGTTGATATGGAAGGTTGATATAGGACAACCAGGTCAGACTATATTTGATTCTGGGTGACGGGAATGATTCGATCATAGCTCAGTAGGAAAGCTACCATTTTCAATGAAGTGATTAATAAACTGCTGTGTCCACATTTTTACTTCACTCCAAGAATGTCTTCCTTGACACAAGCACATGTACAGATATACGTTATGTGGGGATTGACTGTGTAGTTTTTACATAATCTTACTAACCAACCAACCAACAAACCTTCAACAAAAGCAATACATCTGGCCTATGTGCTTTTGATCTTGGCACCGCTCATAGGAAAATCATAATGGTTTCTTCTTTTGCTCATGACACACATCTAGATGTTTATGTGGAAAATCAGTCACATCGTTTTTCCAGTTACACCGCTAACAAACAACATACATAGGTGAAAACATAGCTTTGTGACTGACAGGTAGTTACGGGTGGACCACATTCTTTTACCTATGAAATGAATGCAGACTACAGCTTATTACATGCGTGTGTAACCCTCACATAGTATTGTGAAATGATTGCACAATACTTCCCTCAACTCCAGAGAATTAAAAATTATGTTCTGTATAAAAGAGCAAAAATGAAACATCGGGTTACGTTGTAACTTTGAGGTAGACTTCCAACAGTCTCTTAGTTTGTAACCGCCGTGGCCGATCAAAGAAGATATTGGGGCTAAAGGATCGAGAGGGAGACTGCCCCCCACACCCCCTTCCCGCCCTCCCTTCCTAACAACGGCAACAGCAGAAGCCGCAGAAAGCTTTATATTTAGAGCTGCTCAGCTTCACAGTGGGCCAGCCTGCCTGTCACAAGACCGAGCATTGGCTCCTCTGACAGCACCTGACTGACAGACAACATACAGGCAGTACGTAGACACAGACACACACACACACACACACACACACACACACATACACATACACACACACACACACACACACACACACACACA